AAAAATCTTGCTAAATAAATTTTTAAAATATGTATGTAATGATTCTTGAAGATAATCGGTATATGCATTTTCAACTAGATTTCAACGCAACTCGTGATTCGTTGGTTATCGTTGAAAGGATTCTCCAACAATTTTGGAGGAATCCTCTCTAAGTAAAATGTTTATTACGTAATAAATGGAGTACCACTAACGTATTCGTACACTAAATTAGATTCTCTGTTTAGTTCGTGAATAATAATTCGTTTAAATTCTGTCTTACGTCTCTTTCTCTTCCCCACCTTGAAAAAGAAAGTTAGGATTCTTCAGGTTGTTTCTCGAAGACCTATAACCTCTAATGCTAAGAAGGAAAGGAAGTGACCATACGAGTTAGTGACTATAAATAGCCGATCCAGCCCTCCACTCCACGAAACAGTTCTACAGATCGCGAAAATATATAAATTAACGAAAGAATTATATAAGAGATACATTGATTTTTGTTTTTGGCCATTTGTCATAATCAAATTGGTTAAATCATAAATCTATTTAATCTGTTTAAAAAGACATTCGATGCGATCGATGAACGCAAAAAAATCGCAAAAAAAAAAAAAGTTTCACTTTGTTTTTTCGTTGAACACAATTGAAGGAAAAAGTGAGGTTAGGATGAAGAAGGAAAGAATGAATCGATTTCACGTGAAAAGAAGAGAAGTTTTTTTAACTCTGGATAATCTTGAATGTACGCAATTCATGGATCTGTGAGGTCGACTGCGTATAATGCAGTAGTTGACTGCACTATCGACCGTGTGCAACCGTTGCATCGCGTCGCGGCGTTGTGACGTCACAGTCACTAATGCCCGAGTTACATAAACCCCCATTGCATGCGTTGTTTCTTTCTGTCTTTCTCCCTCCCTTCCTCTCTCTCTCCCTCTCTCTCTCTCGCACTGCTTCTCTTTTTCTTCCTTCGCTTATCATATCCTTTTCTATCTTTATTCAAGAATGTAAGTTTAAAATGTGTTTAATCCTTTCGCGTTCGATATTATATACACAATAACAGTGTTGTTTTTTAATACATTGTATTTTGTTCGCGAAATAATTTATCATAGATAATTCATAAAAAAAAATAATTGATTAAAAAAATAATTCTTAAAAAATTCTTCTAAGATCTGATAGATCTAATTCAAATATCAAATTAATGAAATTTTATTTCTTAAAACATATTATATTTTTTTGCTCATTTATTTCGATAAAAATGAATAATATCACGAATATACGACTGAGATATTATTTTTGATTAAAATGAAATTCATATTTTGCGTTCAATCGTGTAACAAAGATGTCAAAGAGCACATTGTATATTTTAATAGTTTTTCAGTAGTTAAAGTTACAAATGAAAATTTACTTTCAACAAATTTTCAATCTATTCAAATGAAAATGTTATTTTTCAAATATTTTCTATTTTCTGTGCATATTTTTTAACGATAAATACAAATATCAATTTTACATAAAAATATAATTACTAGTAATTTGGTACATAAGCGAACAAAACAAGATGTAATAAATTTTCTTGGAAAAAGTGTACAAAGGTCAATAAAGAAATGCATTTACGTATTTTCTATAAAAATAACCATGGAAAACAATGCATTCTTAAATCAACAATGGAATATTCATATTCAAAGTTTATCTTTTTCCCTTTGGAATATTAAACACTTTGTTATTCTTAATTTATATTTTTTCTCTTCATTTACTTATATGTATTCATATTATTTAAAAAGATAATTTAAAATTGGGAAAATTCATATTTCTAAAAAGAAATCTGGCATCTTAATCCTTCACATCATCGTCAAATAGAAAGCACTTCAAGAGTTAACCTCAAAATACAAGTTTTCCGTTTCAATTAATATAGTACAGTTTCAGCAATAAGACGTTCTCATTCATTAGGGTGAAACCGTGTCCTTCCTCGAGAATCTCTTTCAAAGCCTCTTACCCAACTACAGAGGACTCTTTTACGTTTCATAGAACATAGTTACCTCTTTCTCTGCCTCTAATTAGATATATAGATATACCGGTTCTAACAAATTTCCTCGGGCAACAATACGCCATCACGTCGAAATTCTCGCGTTGAAAATCGACCTTGCAATTAGTCAACTTCACAGCGATAACCATCAACTGGCTCGCGTTATGTGCTAATCAACAACACGGTTGATATATCGTGTGATTCTTTGCGGAATTTTGTTGTGGGAAGATTGTTACAGTATATATATATATATATATATATATACATATTTTTTTGTGCTAATTTTCATGAACCATTGTTTCATACTTTCCTGATTATTTGTAGAAATCGTATTGATTTTATTATGCTTTCTAATTACTCTGTTGTTATTAAATGAATTTCTTAAAAAAAAAAAATGTGTTTTTATTAAATATTACTTCGAATATGAATCTTTAAATTTTTAAAAAATTAATCAGAAATTTTATATGTATATATATAAGTGTATATATATTATATGTATATATATATATATGCAAAATAAAGATATAATACTTCTATATATTTTTACGATCTGTTTTGTAACAATCATACCATTTTTTACTTTGTAAAATATCACCTTTTTTGTTTTAACAGCTGTTATCATGCGTTTCTCTTATGATGTCATAAAGTTTTAACAAACATATAAAGAGTCGACAAATATATCAATTTCATAATAAAAATAGCGAAGCAATAAAAATATTTTAATAGTAAAAAATGTTTGAATAATAGAATATTTAAATAGTGAAACATTTGTAATAAATTGTTCAAATATAATGAAAATTCTAAAGTATTAAAATACGAGTATATTGACTCACTGATAAATGAAAGAATTACGAAGATTTTTTCATCATTTTAAATCGTTGATTTTGCCAAAAATACGGGATTCTGTAACAGAAAAATAAGTGAATTATTATTAAAATTTATTTACAATTTTTATAGATAATAAAATACTTGCAAAAAACAAAAGTAGAAAATAGAAAAATAGATTATACACATATGTACATTGTACTTGAAAAAGAAGTTTTGAGTAGGAAAGGTTAAATGTTACGACCTCATCAAAGTTGGTTATTTCGCGGTATAATTTGAGTTTCGATTCAAGACTGACTTGCAGGCCTCGTAAACTTCTACCGTAATTACGCGGCCAGGCGATAAAGTGAGACTTAAAATATACGATGGACCATGATAAACAGTTGCGCAGCACGAACTAGAAATGACCGATGGAAATAATAATTTCTGTTGAAAGGCTTATTGATTAATTGAAAAAAAATTTTTTAATTGACGATTGATTAAAGAAAAAAATTCAAGAATAAAATTCTTTATATGAATATATTTAAGAACATAAGAATTCATAAGTATATATCAATATTCTATATACAACATAAAAAATAATATTTCAAATTAATTTAGTGATATAAAGTAAATAAAATTATTTATTATTTATATAATAATAATATTTATTATTATATTATAACTTAATATTGCAGTTATATTGATGTTCGTTTATATTGTTCGTTAAACTATTGATTTATTATTTATTAACCTAACCTTATATTCTAATATTATTTTCATTTAAAATAATCGTGACTATACCAGGCATTATGATATAAATTAAAGAAATCAAATAGAATATGTACAATTTAACAAACTTTCTAACTAATGCGGTTATAAAGAATATAACTGTGCCATCTAGTGCATGAAAGTTGAAACTTTATATAATTTACACTGTAGATATAAATGAATTTATCAACATATGGTAATTACGTAAAATTATTATAATAATTAATTTTTTATAATAAATAAAAATAATATATATATATATACATAAAACGATTTCTTATTACAATAAAATTCTTATATTATAATATAATTCTTTGATTTTATGAATATTTTAATCTTCAATTTAAATTAGTTAATTATCTTCATGGATAATATGGAAATATTATCCTTTATCGGTAATGTAATTTTTTATAATTATCAAAATTTTATTTATTAAATTTTTAATTCGTACAAATAAAATATATAACTCGTAAAATATTTATTTTTTTTATAATTAAAATTAAAAATAATATTTAAGAAATAATAAGGAAAATGAAAATAAATGACAAAAAATTATAAAATAAAAAGTTAATTGACTGTTTCCGCCCGGGATCGAACCGGGGACCTTGTGCGTGTGAAGCACACGTGATAACCACTACACTACGGAAACGTTGTTACAGGGATTTTTTAAAATTACTAATAGAGGACAATAATATCTTTGAAGAAAATTTAAAATATTGAAAAAAATGTAACTTTTTTATTTCTATTAATTCTGAAAATCAAATCGAATTAAAATTGTTAATATACAACGAGGTAAGAAAAATCGATGATTTAATTAATTTTAACCTATAAAAAATTAAATTTTTATAGATTTCGTTTTATATAAAATATAAATATTTTTAAATTCGCGAGATCTATAATTAAAATAATCTAAACACGAAATCGGATTATATATTTATTTTATGGATAGATAAATATTGTATAAATGTGTCTCTTTCTCTTTAAAATTTATAATATAAAATTTACAGGTACTTGAACATGTTACTTGATATACGTATGATTATTTGTTTATGGGACACCCTTTGATAAATATCTTTATCAGAATTCAATAAAACTAAGTCATATATTACACAGAAAGATTCTGTATATTTAAATACTGATTTTAATTTTATTTATGACATTCCCAACCATAAAATAGTCTTGCTTCAATAACTATTACTCATTAGCTTTTCTTAATATGACACAAAAAAGAATCATAAATGATCAGCGTTTCTAGGTCGATAACATTATATATCGGTCAATTATCGTATGTAGAACGAGACAAAGCACGTCGAACATCGTCATTGCACGTGATACTTGAGCCACCGTAAGAAGCGAGGTACGAAATGTAAACAAACATTCAGACGCTTGTCGATCTCGTTCGTACAAGACAATTAGTCTTCTTTCTTATTGTAAAATGGGGAAAGTAATATGTGATGTCGTAACCAGTGATACATCTGGCGATGAACAAAGAAAAACTGTTCGAGAAAAGCAGAAAAACCGAACAAAGAAAAAGAAACGTAAAAGGGACTTGACAGATCTGCATCAGAAAATATTCAAATCAAAGAAGGTACTGACATACACAAGTCTATGCTCACTATTATTAAATTTTAATCATGTATATTAACAAATTGACTGTATTCTTTATTAAATATTTAATTTGTTGTTATTTCTAATATAATATTATATTTAATATGGAAATGTATTTGGAGTTTTGGTTATGTCAAAGTTTGTCGAGATGTGTCACATTGATTTATTAATTATTTCAATATTTCTACACTAATTTTGATAATAAATAAATAATAAATAAAAATTTCGAAAGATATTTTAAAATTTCGAGAAAGAATAATTAATATATATGAAAATAAACATATCTACAACCACTTAATGTCATACAATGGAATGAGAAAATAGGTTTTGCGCTAAAGCTAGGTGCGCATCTTTTGAGATGTATCGATAAATTAAACAAAATGAAAAAAGAAACAAAACAGAGTACAAAGTAGTGCTCTCTTTTCTATTTCTAATGATGGAATATAACGAAGAAATGTAAATGTAGAATTTTTTAATCTTATACATTTAAGCATACTTTCATAATTCAAATTTGTATAATAAAAAAAATATATACACATATATATATACATAATTTAAAAAAATTTTATTATATATTTTTTCGAATTGGAAAAATATTAAATTTTATTTAAGAGAATTTATTTTTAGTAGAATTCTACGTATTATAAAGTAAATATTCTTGAAAATAGAATTCCTTAAATCATGATAATCTATGCTCCATTTTTCAGCAGAACTGGGTGGAATACAAATTTTGGCAGAGTAATTTCATTAAACTTTTGCATCATTTCGCGGACATTAGAGAAGAATATGTATACATAAAAAATTAATTTATTTTCATTTCCTCCATTTTATTCATTATTTGAAAAACATTTATTTCAGGATAAAAAAACGAAGATCGATGGAAAGTTAGGCACACGAAGTTCAAAAAGAATATCGAATAGAATTCTTCCGAAAGCTGTAAATATTATAAATCAGTATAGAATGAAAACAAAGAGAAATTAATATAATAATATCAAATTATAATTTTTTATTTTAGTTATCTGGTATATACAGAAATGGTGCAACTGGAAAAGAAATACGAAGACGTGAGTGTTATAAAATGCAATTTTTTTTTTAATGGTAAAAGCAATTTATTTAACAATTTTATTATTATTTATAGCTCAAACAAAATTACCTTTGGATAATTTAAATAATGCTCGTTTGGAAGGAAATGTGCTCAAACTTTTAGATGGCTATGATTCAAAATCAGAGTAAGTAAAAAAAGTATACAAAATTTGTAGTATTCTATAGAATATTTTTTTAATTCACAGAGATATTATTGAAAATAACACTAGCGAGATTTCAAAAAACTTATTATTTGATTCTGCTATTAAAAATATTCTTCAACCAACTCCTATTAATAAACAAGATACAAGTCCTGTTTTGGGAAATATAGATGGGTAAATTGAAAACTTATATTCCATTTTAATATACAAAATACAAACAATAATCAAAATCGTAATTATAAAAAGAAATTAACAAAAATTGATTTGTACGATAATTCAATGATAATTACAATATATATTTTATATAGAAAGAAAAGATACGATAAAGATGATTATATAAAAGATTTCAACATTTCTAACACCGAGTTTCTTCAAAAACAATTAGAAAAGAAGAAACCAGTTGATTCAAAAAATTTAGGAGACTCTGCTTTACGAAAATATGAAGAATTATGTATAGATATCTTTCTTGAAAATTTTGAAGAACCAAATTTTCCGGATCATCTCGGAACAGGTATTTGATTTTTCAGATTTTTAATTTTTATAATTTATTTTGATTAATTTTTATTTTTCTATTTATTTTTTAAAATTTTTTTAGATCCGTTAATAAAAGTAAAAAAAAAATTAAGAAATATTTATGCAGAATCATTTCGTAGTCAATTTTTACGGGATATGATCAAGCGTGGTAACATTTTAATTCAATGTGATACACCAAGTACTTCTAACGAAAATTTTCTTTCTTGGGATACTGTACGTTGCCCTCCTTCATATACCCACAATACAGATTTTATATCCAAGACTATGGAGAATACAAAGCGCCATATTAATTATAAAAGAAACCAGGAGATCGATTGTTTACAAGAAAGCCAAGATTCGCTTTTAATACCAGAAACGAATTTTAGTTTGAATAACGAAAGGAACGAAAATGTTCCGACCAAATTATTATTTGATATATCCTCGTTAACTAATACAAATATAGGAATGAAAAATTTACGTGAACCAGAAATGAATGAAGAAAGGAATAATTTAATTAATGAAGTCTCAACAGATGCAAGCAATCCTACTTCTTTAGAAGTAAATCATTCTACAGCTTCTATATGTAGAAATAATAACACTTTAAAATATACTGAAACAAATAAAATTAAAAGAATAAAGGAGAAAAATAAGCCTGTTTTATTTGCGCCATCTGAAATAGGATTTGAAAATAATTTTATTAATGAAAATAATTTGATGAAAGGGAAAAATCAGAATATGCAAACTGTGCATATTTTGAAGAATGAATTAAAAAGACATCAAGGAAAACAAAATTTAAAGATACTGAAACAAGTTAAAATGAAGAATTTAAAGAACAAACCCGCTATATTACGAAGATGCAACAACACCATCACAAATAATAACAATCGATTAAATTTATTCCAGGAGTCAATGACTAATATTAAAAAAGCACCTCGAGAAATACTTTTCGATGTTGCATCAAAGCAAGAAATTCCATTTCCTTCACAATCTTTAATGACAGAATTGAATGAAGATTCAAAAAAGCTGCAAAGATCAAGTACATCAAATACTTTATTCGATGCTGCAAAAATGAAGAATCCGAATGTAATGGATTCACCGAAGGTATGTGACAATGAAATATATTTTATGAAAAAATCTTGTTCACAACCAACGGAATCTAAACAACAATCACAGAATCTTCATGTAAATGATATTTTCGTGAATAAGAAAAATCCTCCGGTACAGAAAACGGTGATGTTTACAAAGAAAGACTCGCGAAATATAGGACAATGTTTATACGTGAATAATTTAATTGCTCGTGAAACGGCAGATAGTTCAAATGTCTGTATTATACGAAAGAATGTTCCTTTGCAACATGAAAAATCAATAAAAAATACTTGTACTGTGCAAGATTGCCAAAAAGTATCCAATTGTTACAAAACATTTCATTGCTCGCAGAATTCTGAAAATTCCAATTATGGTTGCCAAGAATTTAAGGAAGCACATGCACCACAAATACACCAAATACATCAAAAACCAATGGTTTATGAAAAAGTATTATTAAAAAAAATCCAGCAACAACCTAAATATGAAAATAATCAAAAATGTGATAATAATCAACATGTTTACTATGTAATGGTAGATCAATGTAAAGATTCAAACAATTTGCAAAAATGTTCCCATGATAATGTATCTCAAATTGAGAAACCTAGAACATTGCATAATGGGCGATTATGTCAGGAAGATATAACTGATGTTAGTATTCTCAAAGGTGTGCATAATTTAAAGATATTGCCTGTGGAAGAACAAGAATCACAAATAAAATTTATTGATAATCAATATATACAAAATGCAATAGAATTGGAACAACAACCAATTAAATATTTGGCATTTGAAAATGATTCAAAAACACAAAAAGTTCCTATCTACAAGCATGTTACTTCTGTCGATAATGTAGAAGTGACTAATTCAAATACTAATTATCGCGTAATATCATGTCTTCAAGAACCAACTCAAAAAATTATTTTCGTGCCAACTTGTGAGCAAAATAAAGTTGTATATGTCGAACAACAAAATTTGCATTCAAATGTTGCTTTTGAAGAACAATGTTCGCATCCTAAAAAGATAATCCTGTATCGACCGGAAATGCAATCTATCAACGATTCTTCAAATGTATGTGAAATTCATGTTCCAACAAAACAAAACGTGGTAGAAATAAGAAAAACTGATTGTGAGCCAATCGTAACTACTTTACATCATACTGACAAGGCTATAAAATCAAGACGAAATGTAGTAAATTGGGAAGAACTTCATTATCGACCAAACTATGGTAATATACATAACTAATAATATCAATTTTTTAACAAAAAATTTTTAGTTTTTAATAATTAATTATAATTACAAATCTTGTCCACTTTTTATTTCAGAACACAATGCTTGTGTAAAGAGTCAAGCAGTATTCTATCAAAAGTAAAATTTAATTTAATTTTACTACATTCATCTAAATATATGTCAGATATTTTTTCATTATTACATATATCATTACAGTGAAATACGTAAAATTATTATTTATTACGTTTCACTTTAATGTTTGCTAACATTTATGAATTTTGTATGCGAGATAATAATAAAAGAAATGTTATTAATAATTAATATTTTTTCAAATAATTATTGTAAGTAATTAAATGCGCTTTTTTAGGTTTGTATATTTATAAGAACGCAATTTATATAAATAAGCAATATAATTATCTTTGGAAGTTTATTTAAAACATATTTTGTTTTGATAGAATTGTAATTATTCGAAAATATAAAAAAGAAAATTTTGTAATTTTCATATGTTACGTATAAATTGAATTTAATGTCAATTTTCCATTATGATTACAAATTACTCAAGTATTTGATACGAACGTTTGCCTTGTATAATTTTTAATATTAAAATTGAATGTTGAATTATCTCTCTATGTTTAATTTTTCTAAAAATTAATATTCTACGTTCTATAATATTGGAATATTATTTGGCGGAATATTATAATACAAAATGTTAAAACTTACCAAACATATTTAGTTATGCTATCAGCCCAATATTCTAAAAGTAATCACCATCACAATAAATTAATTTTCACAATAAATTAATACAAATAAATCACAAAAAAACTATTTTTCACTATTTTTTTAATCCTTGTTTGTTCCTTCTTTTTGCAGTTTTTCGTATGTGTGTTCCCGCCAATTAAAAAATTTCAACGAATATGATGGAGCTACTATCTACATTTAAAATTTATAGTCGCACAAAAAAATTAAATTAAAAATTAAATTAAATTAAATTATTCATAGTATATTAATAAATTAAATTAAGAATTTATAAATTGTCAATAATAATAATATCATTAATTAATAATAATATCAAAATAAAAAATATAATTATTTTAGTAATTTCTAGTTTTATAATTCGATATGCCACCTGTTGGCAATTTATTGAAAAAGTGCAAATGTAGTGACAGATGTACATTTACCATATCAATTATAAAAATGTATCATGTTTAATGCAACATCGTTATTATTGTGATTATTAAAATAAAAAACTGACAAGTGTTGTTCCATTGAATAAATATTTGATAAATTCCATTAAATGTTCTATTTAATACATATTCGTATGCGATTGTAAATATCGTAACATAACCAATCTATTCAAAAGACAAAATGAACGCATCACAATAGAGAAAATAACTGGATATGTAATATACGCGATAAACAGAATTAGCTCGTAATGACGTCGTATAAAAGTGGCAAAGGAATAATTGCAACCCATTTTAATCAGGTCGCAGTAACATTTTACAATAAGCTAACATAAATTATCATGTTAATATATTTTATGCTTCATTATACCGAAAATACAAGTTCGCTTCGTAACATTTATGTTTCAGTACAAATTGAATGAATATGAAGGTATTATATTGTTTTTTTGCAAAACATATTTTCGAGACTAACAAATATGAAATGATTTTTTTCGTGAAAGTGATAAAATTGGTATAAATCACAAAAGATAGTCGATTTTTTTTGGAAATATTAAATTATATTCCTATGGGTCTTCGATTCTACGGGATGCAAGCGCAGCGGGGGTGAAGGGCATCTGAGATCAGTAATCAATATTTAATCAACTTTCCAGGAGAATATTATTCTCCCGACAAATCAAGGACATATGTATCAGACCGCTAAGGGGGGTTGACGTTCTCTCTCTCTATTGATATAAAAGACGAAACGCCGTTTATACGAGTGTGCGAGTGTTTACACGCGCATTCATGTTTACTGTATTCCCATTGACGTAGATATTAAATTCTTATTGTCAATGATAATTTTTTCATGACAAATGTTTTTTTCCAGTAAATCAATCAATTACTTATTTATCTGCATAATTTTTAAATAATTATATCTTAATAATTAAATATTACTCAAATGAATATAAATATATACATAATAATAACATAAATATTTAAATATTATTATCTATATTTGTTTTTTTAGTTGTTTTTAATTTTAAAAATTTAATTATTATAATTTTTAATTTATTTAATTTATTTAATTTATTTAATAATTACAATAATTGAAATTATAAAAATTTTAATAATGTAGCGGTGAAATGAAATTACATTTTTATATTTTAACAATTTTAGCAATTTTATATTACTATATATTTCGATATCGTAATTTTTTTAAATATTTTTATACAAATTTTTTGCAAAATAATTTTCATAATTTTAATTATGATATTACAAATACATATGTTCCAGTTTCTACTACTATTGCAACATGATAAAGTTGACAGAGAACTCTACGCCAATGGATGAATTCGTTCCTATGTATTCTTAGTATACATACTATGGGCGATTTGGTGTTGCGCGGCATACTATGTTCATGTATGTACCCTGGAAGAGAATTCCCCCGGGATGAGACTCGGGGAAGAGGGTCGAGTACCAGGACTGCTCATCGTGGCCCTTTCGTGAGAACAAGTGCGAAACAAGTGTCGCACAGGTTCCTAGCACCTATCTAAGGTCGGTCTCGTGTCATGTTTAGTCGTGTAATTTCTGTATCTGCAGATAAATCATATTTCATGCTTTCGAGTCCCTTTATTTATGTATCCTATATATCCATTTGATGTTTGACTATCTTGTGCAATAGATAAAAAGATGTAAGAATATATATTAATTCCACAGAAGAATTGTTATAAATATTTAAATTAAATTATAATATTTGTTACTATAGATTAATCAGTTGATGAGATTTTATAATGTGATATATAAAGCACAAACGAAATTACTTATTTTAAAATGATTAAAATATATAAATTCCATTTATAAAAATTTTTATATTTATCATTTTTAAGAATTCTTGTTAAAAAAAAAAATATTATTTTTCTGCATCAAATACATTTTATAATTTATATATTTTTAAAATGAAAAGATTATTTTATTTCAATTTTATCTTTTATATTTGTTCATATTAATAAGTTAATAAATTTGTCTTGATAATTTTTACAATTTTCAAATAAATTAATCTAATTTTTTTCATTCTCTTTCTATATTTTATCAGCCCACAAGAAAATAAGAAATTTGTTTCCACGAATCTTCATTCTTCATTGGAACTCACAACAATCTACACAGCTTGAATCAAAAAAAGATCATAGTATCTCAAATTTAACTCATTTTCACGTGAAGCATTCCATCATCCTCGCCTCATCCAAAGATCTAAGGATTAGCCCAGCATTAGCAATATCATCCAAAAGGCTAAGCAGCACTCATCGTACCGAAAAGAGCCGCAAAAGGAGTTAGGCGTAAACATACGAAAGATGGTTGGAGAAGCGTTGCTCTGGTGTCCAGCGGAAACGTCCTGCTCCGGAATCGATCGTAAAATCGAGACCAGGGGAGAGGGTCGGCATCATCGAATGATAGCGTTCATTCGAGCTGATGGCTGTTAGGGAGAGGTCGCCCGACGAAATGGGGGTGGCACACGGACGGGGATGAACACAGAAGCTTCGAGGGGCGGTGACTGTTCTCTCATCCAGTCCGGGGGTGGCACCAGGGATCGACGAATCAGCGCTTAGAGAACGGAAGACAGTGACCAAACCCGTTTCACCGTAACCAACTGTGGACCACACCTCCGGCATGCACCCTCTCCGCCGGTTATTGAATTAAGCTTATCATTTGATTTTGAGGAGACCCACCAGTCGGTCGTCTCGGGCTCTCTTAAGCGGGCCGAAAAACTTCTTTCTATCCGCGGCTATAATCGCAATAATTTGATATCGCTGATCCGATTACGCGTCATAAGCCGCTATCGAGCAACCAGCTACCGCCCGCGTCCCTTAGCTCTTATCTACGACCAAAGGAGAATTACGTGACGCTGCCACTGCTGCTTATTACACCCTGCCCTACGATTATCCGAGATTTCGTGGGAAGAAACGCGTCGTTGCTGGGGCCGGAAGGAAAAGCCGCGGCTAAGGCCCGGCCGGGGCCCTTAGCTTCCTTTTATCCACGTGATTTTCACCTCGTTACAAACAAATTTATATAAATATATATATACATATATATATATATGTATATATATATATATATTCAGAATCAACATGTTCCAGTGAATGAAGAGAATCTATTCTAGTTCCGTTTTCACCACCGCTCAACGGGACTACTCCACGTTATAACCTGGAAAGATTCGGTTTCTTCAATCTCTGCTCGAGTGAAGAATCAAGAAATGGAAATGAAATAAGAAGTTTCGATGAACTGTCCGGGTGAACCATTTAGTGACCTCGATTTGAAAGTGCCCTTGTTGATCCGCCTGTGACGAACACGCCTCTGTTTTCCGTTCATCTATCTACTCGCGGTGAATCTCTCCGAGTGAATCATGGATTATTCGTACTTGAATCAGGCGGCTGCTGCCGCGGCCGCCGGTTTCGAGGCTTCCAGCTGTGCTCTAGCCGCCAGTGAGATGCAATGTGGATACGGGGACTTGAGCTCATGCTCGCAAATGAGCCAGGCCGCCTATCGGTATACAGCTGCGAGAGCTGCTGGTTATCCGGGTAACGCGGGAGCCACGAGTACAGGAAGCACCACGCCGCTGGGGGCCCATCACACCACCCACTCTCATGCCCACGCGCACCACGGGGCCCATACAACCCCCTGCTCGGTAATGGCCGCCAGATCTCAAGAGGTCCACCGGCACGCCGCTTCGATCTTTCCCTCGGCCATTAATTTGCAGAGTGAGTGCAAACTTAATTCGATTGCTCGCGCGGAATGGAGCGATGGACGGTGATGGAATATTTTATGAAACTTAATTTTTCACTTTGTTTTTATTTTAGATGTCATTGCCTATTGTTCGGGATTTTTTATTTAACCTAACGATGGAATTGAGGGACGATTCGCATATTTTTACGCCATTCCTTAAGTGCAAATATTAAGTGGGGATATTCATTTTGCGAATCAATTGTTAGAAGAAAAATTTTATCACGTTTAGTCGTTACGTTGGTTTCTTTCTTTCATATTCTTACAACAATCTGTAATAATTCTTTGTTTACTGCGTGTAGTAAATATTGTTTATGATGACATCACGTGTCTATTTATGATATTCATTAGCAAATTAAATTATTTACATGTTTATCGTTCGTTGTTCAAAAGTAAGAAACGTATCTTGTAAAAGACACGGATATTTAGCTCCGAGGATCGTATAATTTTTATTTTATTGCCTATAAAAGAAACGAGAAAAGTGAACAGTTTGTTACAACGATAAATATCAATTTGGATTTTATTATCCTTCATAAATCATTATATGAACTCCTTATTAAAAGGATAAAAAATTAACGCAGTGTCTTATTCAAACATTTAAAACTTTCATCGCTTTCTTTATGCATAACTATTCAACGTTATCACAATCTGATTTTCTCATTTATTAAAAGTAGCTATCAAATATTAATTAAGACTCAGTCACGGAGACATCTAATTCCGCATTTACAAATTCCGAAAAGAAAAAAAAAAAAAAATATCAGAAAATATAATTCCAAAACGAGTTCCATTTGAAACAATCAAATCTAATCAAATCTAATCAAATCGTTGAACTACGAATTCCTCGACATTGAACGAAAAATCAAACACTGTACCTGTATCGTTAAAACGATAAGAATTTACTGAAGGGCAATCAATTAGAGGCATAAGAAGACAGCATGCGCGGGCGGAGCGAAGAAGGGAAGCTTATTCCGCAGAAAAAAGAGGGTGGTCCTTCTTTTCTCAGGGGATAGTTGCCATGCGATGGTTCGTCTCCATGCTCGAACCTGCCACCGTGATATTTCCTCTGGAAACGACGACAAGATGGCACTGAAAATCAATGGATGTGTCTCGTACTCTCTTTCCTTCTCTTTCCTTTTTCGCATTCTTGCCTCTCTTTCTCACCCTTTCCTCGTCACTCCCCCATTTACTGGCTCGTTCCTCTTGCACCTAACTCCGCTCTGTCTCATCCCACTGTCTCACTTCACCCCTGGCTTCACTACCTCTTCCTCTCGTCCTCTCTCCCTTCACTCACTCATTGCTATGGTTACCTTGCTCGCTATCGCAGCCATTCTCACCTATATTCTATAATCTATAAGCTGCTTCCTCCTTGCAAGCATCAAACCTTCAGAAACGTTCCATTCTCTAGCCCTAGTAATTCGACCACACTGATTTTCTTCATGTTTTATCAATCTTGACAGCATGTGGCTAACTTTAGAAACTGTGTTGTTCATTCTTGAAGTTTACACTTTGACTTTATTGATTAAGAGAATATTTGCATAATTGATTCAGGAGGTAATCGTTATTAGATGAAACTTTTATAGTATTTGATTTTTATTATTTTTTTTTTTTTTAGATCTTATTGATCTCTAAAGATTTAAATTGTGCATGAAAATCAATTATTGTTTAATTCTTGTTAATAATTAACATTTTATTCCTGTAATTTAATTTCAATTTATCATTTTAATACAATTCAACAATACAACAAGTTTTTAATTGATATCTAAATTTCAACTTCTTCTCTTTATAATTTTCAGGTGGATTAGGATACAAAGCCTATTCAGGGCACGATGGTTTGGCGGAGAAGAGGAAACAACGTCGGATACGAACAACCTTTACATCGGCTCAGCTTAAAGAATTGGAGCGTGCCTTCCAGGAGACTCATTATCCAGATATCTACACTAGAGAAGAAATCGCTATGAAGATTGATCTAACGGAAGCTAGAGTTCAGGTAAGTGATTCGATTGCATAATCTTTAATTATAATTTAACATCTCTACACAACAAGAAAATACAAAATTCCAAAAACTCTAACAAGTTTCCTTCATAAATTTCACACAAAGATTGCATAAAGATTCCAATCAAGGAAGAATTATAAGAAATAGAATAATCTTTCCTTTCGTTGTTTTCTCTCTGTTTAAATCCTTGTTTTGGGCTTCGCCTAAAATGGAGGACCGGAAACGAAGATACAATGGCGATGGCGGGACACGAAGTGCGCCGTGTAATTGCATTACACAAGCCCCCAGTTTTCGTTTTCACGGTTATACACCGTGTAAGTTGATGGATTATACCGTCTAATGCACGTGACGGATTAACTTAAACTTCTTGCATGCCGGAGATTCAAAGGGGAGTTGTCTTACTATGACGCGTAAATCGAACGCGCAAAATTTATGATCCAATCAACGTGTTTTACATTTTCGTCGGCTCACCCTCACGAGCTTTTATAGATAACCAATTCTCTTTCAACTTCTGACGCGTCGCACGTCCATTCCTCAATTCTTATTCTCTCTCTTCCCATTTATTTTGCCTCCTCGATGATAGATTTCGATCATCTTCTTTTATACTTACATTTTATTCTATTATAAAATATATATATATATTCTTGAAATATTCCTTATCCAATTATTAACCCTCATTAACTTTCATCAAAGTGATACGATTCTTCTTTCTTTCATTATATTCCTCTTATTTCAATATTCGACCAATAATTCGTAACCTTGAACATTTTCCGCATTAAAATTTCCTTCCAAGTGAATTTCCATTCCAGAAATGATTCATCCTATCTGTCTATTCCTAGAGAATTCTATTTCCCGGATTATTCATTAATCTAACCTATTGTCAATCAGTAAATTTTCAATCCAATTGGAAATCCTTTCCCAATGATTAGATGGATAGATTCAAGATGAGTGAATCCCTTCCTTACCGCTTCCTGTATCATCGATGCATATTAATGTTTGATTTAGAACCAAAAATAAACGAGCCGCGATAGTTCGAAGATTCTATCCGGAAGCGAGGTCTTCCGCTTCTGTATATAATAATAATAATAATAATAATAATCATACTTGCACTACGTCGGCGAAAAATAGTAGCAGTCGCCTGCTACTTTATGCTGCAAGTGCATCGAACTTTCGGATTAAATTCATTACATCCATCGGCCAAGTGACGGCGATTATACTCGGCGAGTCGACAATGTGAATGAATGGATCTCTCTTGCCACGTTTTATTAAGTAACGTAAATTAAATTTTGGAACAATTCAGTTGGAGATGATCTTTTTATTTTGTTTAATATTTCTCAACAACCGAGGATTTACACGAAGGTAACGACAAAAAATTGTTGTAAAATATTTTACACGGATATTCAGTAAAAACATCAGATTAATTTTATTATATGTGTGTATTTTATTTAGGTTATGTATTTAGATTAATTTTATTATTTTTTTTTTGTTTATCGATAAATAATTTTGAAATGTTTTTTTTTTTGAACAAATCTCACGTTTTGATATGGAAAATTACGAAAGTTACGAAGCTCATACGAATACAAGTTTAATATCGTAAAATTTCGTATTTCCCTAATTACGAAACGCGGCGTTTCACTTTCGACACTTATTGCCGACCGAGTAAATTCAATTTAGCCACCAACTTTATTGCGCGTGATACTAATCATTGATGCCCCTGTAACATTTTGAATTGAGCGCTGCGAAATCGCATTACTATGGGGAAAATGTAATCCGATCGATGGAAAGGATGAAAAATAATATATCGGAAATAAACAGATAATAAATAATTTTCTTCGATTTTTACAAAATTTTATGCCTATGTAAAATCTCGAATTATGTTTCGCGTAATATAAATACAACTTCTACACGATGATAATTCTTCGAACGAATAAAAAGACTTACTTAAGATTTTTTTCCAATTTTATTAACAAAATTTTCAACTTAATCACTTTTCAAGATTTTATTTAAAAAGAGTTGCAGAAAGAATCGTGAATAATTGCGGTAAATACGTAAATAAATATCCCGGTTAATTCAGTTGAAAGTCATAAGCATGAATGTATTATGCACACATGATAATTAAGTACGAAGTTACTATCAATTTTCTAGTAGTTTGCGGCGTCACGGGCCGACCGCCATTTCTAAAGAGGTTCTCCGTGACGGAGGGTAGTCAGGTCGAATCTTCCCTAATTCGTGCTCTTAGCCTCACCCCTGAGATGCCTCGAACTTTGTCCACTTATTCATTTATTAGGTTCTTATTTATCTCTCCCTTCTTTTATCTTCTTTTTCAATGTACACACATTGCGTGTTGCAATTGTAATCGTATCATCTTTCAATCTTTTCTTTTTATTGGCCTTATATTAGTAATTAATTAATTAGTAAATGTATATAATAACGAATAATATTTATCATAAACTTTGATAGAAAAATGTGAAAAAGAATTTTCTATTCTTTTTTCTTTTTTATCACATCCTTGGTAAATTTCATTATATTTTTTTTTTTTTTTTTTTGCTATTTTAATTCTATCAAAAATCAATTTCGATTTCTAGTTCTGCATTGAACGAGTCAATTAAAAGTTAAAATCATCAAGAAAGGAATGTTCATTTTTGAACGAGAAAAATCATGTATGTATGACGAATAAACAACGAGTGAGAAAAAAGAAACTGTTAAAAATATTAAAAAAAAAAAAAAAATAAAATTCATCAGCTTTATCAAGAAAGGAAGTGGAAACGACAACGAGATTTTGAGGCTACCGATTAAAAAGTTCGAATTACAGTCACCCCTTATCCAAGGACAAAGCTACTTCATCATTCCCCATAAATCAACATCTTGGACGGAGGAGTTGATCTGCTCAATTCGGTGGCATTATGTATGCTCGCAGGTTGCCTAGAACGTTAATGGAGTTGTAATTCATACGGAATGACATGTGAGTCAGAACTATGAAACGTGTCGCCACGCGACACGCTGCACACCCTCTCTCTGCCCATGGTGTCGTCAATGGGATGTAGCGGATAGAATAGCTGGGTGAACGAACTGGTGTCGGTCTGCTGAACCAACAATCATTGCTCTTGCGAGGTCGTAAGGGTCTGGATTCAATTGAAAGAAATGGAACGATCTGGCTAAGCGCGATTAATTCTGGTGGTGGATACGTTTCCAATTACTTGTAGTGTTCGGTGGTGGCATGCCGCACCTATTGCAAAGGGAAGAGGAAAAATATAAGGAAATAATTAATTTATTTAGAGAAATTATTATATATTATAAATCAATAGATTGAGATTCAAAAAAGAGTGAAAATAATGAATAAATGTGAAGCAAAGTAATATTCCTCATTCATGAATGTTTTGACAATATTAAAATGATTAGGATTAAATTTATTCTATTTATTTCTAACATTCTAATCTTTGATCAAATTTTTATTATGATAGTATTATGTACATATTTACATTTTATGTACATTGAAGAAAGTGTCTTTCTTTCAATTCATAATAAAAAAAAGAGAGAGAGAGAGAGGAAATAGGAAAAATTGAGTAATTTAGAGACAGAGAGCCTTTGGGAGAGGTCCCGGAAAATCAACATGAATTTCTTTTTCCCTGTGGGACACAGTCGAGCACCGTCACAGGAAGCAGAAGGTCGGTTCTAAGGGGGTGATTGGGCAATAGTCTCTGATGAAGGGTCCTCGTCGGTGAGAAGAGACAGTATATTCAAAAAAATGGCAAGGAAAACATACTTGAGAAAAGTCGAAAGAAGTAGAAAGAAAAATAAAAATAGAAAAGAAATACAAAGACTTCTATTAAAATCTAGATATAAAAGAAAAATAAAGGCATTCTCTTCGAAAGCAGTATATACAACTTTCTCTTCTATCCTATATATTAAATAAATACATCATTACACAATAAAAAAAAGAAGCAAAGCAATAATTCCACAATTGGAATGCTTATATGGAATTTAAACAGAAATGATTGTCTTCTTTCTTTACAATTGACAACAAGATTCACATCTTGATACTTTATCTTAGCTTACTTTTTTGATTTACAATTTTACTTATAATAATAATAACTTATAATAATAATTATATAATTATTTATCTCTTCCTTCTTTTATCTTTTTTTTCAATGTACACACATTGCGTGTTGCAATTGTAATCGTATCATCTTTCAATCTTTTCTTTTTATTGGCCTTATATTAGTAATTAATTAATTAGTAAATGTATATAATAACAAATAACAAATATTTATCATTAACTTTGATAGAAAAATGAAAAAAAATTTTCTATTCTTTTTTCTTTTTTATCACATCCTTGGTAAATTTCATTATATTTTTTTTTTGCTATTTTAATTCTATCAAAAATTAATTTCGATTTTTAATTTTGCATTGAACGTGTTAACGAGTCAATTAAAAATTAAAATCATCAAGAAAGGAATGTTCATTTTTGAATAATTCCACAATTGGAATGCTTATATGGAATTTAAACAGAAATAATTGTCTTCTTTCTTTAAAATTGACAAAAAGATTCACATCTTGATACTTTATCTTAGCTTACTTTTTTGATTTTACTTATAATAATAATAACTTATAATAATAATTATTTTAATTATTATTAAATTATCATCATATTCAAATTATTCATCTATTGTCTCAGATTCCAAAAAAAAAAAACAGACATTAACGAGTACGTACGTTTCTTGGCAGCAGAGAGAATAAAAATAGGAGAGCAGAGGTTTGGAAAGGAAGCAGAAAAATATATTCAGACAAGAGAAGAAATATAGATAATAAATGAAAGATCGTAGGAAAGATCAAAACGCAACGACGAATAACACTTCCAACGGAAGGATCTGAGTTGGGAAGGCAAGGAGGGAGGATGGTTGGCACGGCATCGAGGGATGAAATGGGGAAAACATTGGAGCTCTGGCTCGACTCTCGTAGGCCGACGAGGGTGGCTGATACACAAGGGGCCCATG